TATATGTGGTATATTACTTAATACTGGTAAATTAATACATTAATGTTTTGACAATAAAACAAAGTGAATGTCCTCACTGTGTGCAATAAATAGTGTAATGTCTCTAAATAGTCTCAGTTCAGTAGAGGCCAGAGTTACTGCCCCAGTATCTGTGTAGTCTGCAGGAATCTGGAAGTTACAGAATTGCAGATAAAGGATTGGGGACCAGTATAAATTTGTGTGTGTACCAAGGTATGATGTAAAATGTGTTTCCTGCTGTATATACACAAGATAGGTGTTGTTCATATTTCACAGAAGAAAGTGGAACACAGACAGCAATTGACTGCCCAGTGGCAGCAAGTAGAAAGCTCAAGATCTGATTGAAGGACTAATTGGTCAATATTTTTGAATATTACTTTGAAGACCTATGCTTTAAAAATTCCTAGCCAGACATGACCACACACACACCTGTAGTTTCAGCACTTGAGAAGCTGAAGCAGGAAGATCATTTGAACCCAGGAGTTTGAGAGCAGTTTGGGGAACAATAATGAGATTCTGTCTCAAACAAAAAATTCCAGGCTGGGTGTTGTGGAACATGCCTGTAATCCCAGTACGTGGTTGGTTGAGACAGGAGGATTGTTGAGAGTTGGAGACTCAGCGTGGGCTACGTAGTGAGTCCAAGGGAAACCTGAACCATACTGTGAGACCCTGACTCAAAAAAAATCCCTGAAAATATAAATTAATTAAAGTTTCTGTGATTTTTCACATCTATTCTATAATGGACTTGTGTTTTTTAAAACCTAAAATAAAGCTTCAGACTATGCACTAGTGAGTATAACTATCATGAAAGAGGATTTCTCTTACTAATGCAGGCTCTCAGACCAGCAGTGAAGGGGATTTTCCAAGCTGGTGGCACAAGGGCAGGTGGACTCTGCCTCTCATCCTTGTGATCTCTCCAGGTCTCAGGATGCCTGGTTCCCCCGGCACCTCTGACCCCTGGCTGGCCTAGGTACTAAACAAGGGAGAACTTTATCCTGAGAAATCCACCAGCCCTACACTCCTGAAGGAATTCCAGGGCCTTCTGGGGACAAGGTATCATCTGATCTTCCCATCCCCTTTTATTCTTTTTTTTTTTTTTTTCTGGTACTGGGAATCACACTCATGACCTTGTGCTTGCCAGGCAGGTGCTGTGCCACTGAGCTAAATCCCCAGCCCCTCGCCTTTTATTCTTTACCCTGACTACTGGCAGCACAATTTTCTCTCAGGCTCGAGAAGAACAGAGGAACAGACTTGGGCACCTGAGCAAGGCGGCAGAAAACAGGACTGAAAGAAGGTTGCATTGATTTGGGTAGGTTGGGGTGTTATAGTTTGTGTCTGGGTGTCCCCCTCAAAAGCCTCATGCAGTCATAGGGTGAGCTTTTAGAGTTTTTGTTTTGTGAGTATGTGTGCTACACTGCCCTGGGGTGGATAGTTTGCATAGGTAAGGGAGAGGAAGACGCTGCTTGCCACCACTCCTCCCTTTTACCCTTCTTGCTTTGCTCGCTTCCAGCCACCATGTGCCATAAGCCACTCTGCCTTGGAACCAGCCAAGTATGGACTGAAACCTCCAGAAACTTTAAGCTAAATAAACCTTTCCTTCCTCAGCATTGAGTGTCAGGTATTTTGTCTCAACAATGAGAGAAAAATAACCAAGACAGAATTTGGCACCAGGAGTGGGGTCCAACAAGAGGGGGATTGTTTGCTTTTTGTGTCAGTTTCAAACTTTTCTTTTTCGTGAGATAATTAGAGTGAGTCCCTACCTGAGGCAGTCACACCTGGTCAGCAGGTACAAATCAAGGGTGGCACAGGGCAGGTGCCCACACAGGTCCAAGTGAGGGGGAAGTGTCCACCTCAGATTAACAGGGTCCTGGGAGGGAAGAGAGACCTACTGTGTGCCAGGCACTGTCCTGACTGTGTCCATGTTATACCTGATTCTCACAACACCATGGGAAAAGTTGTTCTCATGTGACAGATGAAGGAGGTAAGGGCTTCCAGTCATACAGATGGCAGGTGGCAAAGGTCACATGGGGTCCAGTTTGGTGGCAGTCGGGGTTACTATTAACCCACTCAGAGCAGTGGGCCCCAAAGGAAAAGAGCTGAAGGGAGCAGCCTCCTCATGGGCAGTGTCCTCAGGTCAGCCAGGAACACTGTGTAAGTGGCAGGCAAGGGGACCCTGCAGGTCACTGTCACCTCCTCTCCCACTCTTCCTGTCTGCTTGTTTCCCTGCCCTCTACTTCTCAAGGCTGTCCTGTCCCCCTCTAAGACCTTGGCTTTGAGGCAGGACAGGGAGGAAGTGAGCACCTGGACTCTGGCCCTGAGGAGAGGGTTGGGAAGGGAAGCCCCACAGACCC